CCCCCTTCACCTTAATTTGGACCCGCTTCCTGTCTACAGAACAGAAGTTTCTCTCTACTCACAGTCTTCATCAACATATCGGCTCTGTTGTTATCTGTATGGATCTTCTCAAGAAACAATGCCTTGGACTCCAACACATCCCGAATCCAATGATATCTCACATCAATATGTTTTGACCGCGAATGAAATGTGGAATTCTTAGCTAAGTGAATAGCGCTCTGGCTATCACAATACACCACATACCTCTCTTGCTTCATGCCAAGCTCTTTTAAAAACTTCTGCAACCAAAGTGCTTCCTTACAAGATTCAGTAGTTGCGATAAACTCTGCCTCTGTAGTAGACAAAGCGACACAATTTTGCAACCTACTCTGCCATGAAACTGCTCCCCCTCCGCCATGAAACTGCTCCCCCTCCATAAGTCATCAAGTATCCAGAAGTAGATTTCTGATCATCAAGGTCACCCGCCATGTCAGCATCTGTATATCCATCCAACATGGTCTTCCCATTGGCAAAGCAAAGACTCAATCTGGAAGTACCCCTAAGATACCTGAGAATCCATTTCACAGCATTCCAATGCTTCTTACCAGGATTGGAGAGAAACCGACTAACAACACCAACTGCATGAGCTATGTCTGGCCTTGTCTAAACCATCGCATACATCAGGCTGCCAACTGCCAAAGCTTAAGGAACCTTTTTCATCTCTTCCTTATCTTTCTCACTTTTAGGACACTGCATTTTACTTAGCTTAAAATGCGCCGCAAGTGAAGTCGAGACTTCCTTAGCACCGCTCATGTTAAATCTATCAAGAATCTTCTCGATATACTTCTCTTGAGATACCCAAAGCTTCCCATTCTATCTGTCACGAGAAATCTCCATCCCAAGGATCCGTCTAGCCGGACCCAAATCCTTCATCGCAAAGGATTTATTCAACTCCTTTTTCAACCTGGCAATCTTTGCAATATCATGACCAACAATCAACACGTCATCGACATAAAGCAAAAGAATTATAAAATCACCATCAGAGAATTCCTTCACAAACACACAGTGATCGGCTGTAGTCCTTTGGTATTCCTGCCCTATCATGAAAGCATCAAACTTCTTGTTTTTCCACTGCCTCAGAGCTTGCTTCAACCCATACAAGCTTTTGTTGAGACGACAAACAAACTTCTCTTTCCCCTTATCCTGAAACCCATCTGGTTGCTTCATGTAAATCTCTTCTTCCAAATTACCATGTAAGAAGGTTGTCTTCACATCAAGCTGTTCAATCTCAAGATTCAAACTGGCCGCTATCCCAAGCACAACTCGGATCAAAGACATCTTTACAACAGGAGAGAATATCTCATCAAAGTCTATGCCCTTTCTCTGATTGAATCTCTTCACAACTAATCTAGCTTTGTACCTCGGTTGTCTTCAGTCTGAACATCCATTTATTCTTAAGTGCTCTCTTGCCCTTAGACAGCTTCACCAGGTCATACGTGTTATTCTCATGTAAGGATTTGATCTCATCTTGCATGGCTGCTAACCACTGATCTTTCTGCTCATGACTAAGAACCTCTTCATACGACTCTGGTTTTCCCCCATCAGTAAGCAACAAATACTCATGAGCACTGTACCTGGTGGAACGTATCTTGTCTCTGGTGGACCTCCATGCCTGGACAGGAGGTGATGAAACCGGTGGTGTCTCTGTTTCAGAAGTAGGATCATCATCAAACTCACCATTCTGCTCCGTCTCAGCTCCCCCTTCAGGAGAATCATCTGATTCTGGTGGAACTAGATCTAGATCAATAAGAATCTCAGGCAGGGGCGGAGACACATATATGATTAGTGGGGCAATTGCCCCAGCTGAATTTTTTTTTTTTTAGTTATTACCCTTTAAAATTTGAGGTATTTTCTTAAGAAACTTAGATTTTACCCCACCTAAATTAATAATATTAGGGGGCAAACATATTAAATTAGTAGTATTAAAAATTTTGCCCTATCACTTCTTCAGGGTCTAGCTCCGCCCCTGATCTCAGGTGAAGATTCTGGCATCTCGCCCTTTCCCATATCATCAATGTTCTGGTCTTCAAAGAAGATCACATCCCTGCTTCTGAAAATTTTCTTCTCTACAGGATCCCAAAGTCTGTACCCAAATTCATCATTGCCATACCCCAAGAATATACACTGCTTGGATTTTCCATCAAGTTTCGACCTTCCGTCTTTGGGAATATGAACAAAGGCACGATAACCAAAAACTCGCAAATGTCCAAATGAGACATATTTCCATGTCCAAACTCGTTGTGGTAGATCACCATCCAACGGAACTGAGGGAGATAGGTTGATCAAATCAACTACTGTCTGCATTGCTTTACCCCAAAAAGATTTAGGCAGCTTTGCATTCAAGAGCATACACCTAACCTTTTCAGTAATAGTTCTGTTCATTCTTTCTTCCACGCCATTCTGCTGCGGAGTCTTTGGAACACTCTTCTGAAGTTTAATTCCATGGTCTCGGTAATACTTTTCAAACGGACCCCCGTACTCACCACCATTATCTGCTCGAACACATTTCAACTTCTTGCCAGTCTCTCGTTCAACTCTAAGGTGAAAGTCTTTGAACACATCTAATATCTGATCTTTAGATTTCAAAGAAAAACACTAAACCTTTCGAGCATAGTCATTAATGAAAGTAATAAAGTACAATGCTCCATCCAACAATCTATCTTTCATGGAACATACATTTGTATGAACTAACTCAAGAGGACTAGACTTTCTAAATGGAGGAGAATTTTGAAAGGAAATCCTATGCTATTTACCATATACAGTCAACACAAGGTTCTAGAGCAATACCTTTCACCTCAGGGAGAAATTGCTTCTTACCAAGAATTTGGAGCCCCTTGACACTAATGTGTTCAAGCCTTCTGTGCCAGAGATCAATGGAGGCATTGTGAGTTGCATTCACCTCTCCATTCTTCAACTTTGCATTCAAACATACAAAGAGTTCAACTTCTTTCCTCTAGAAATAATAAGATTCCCTCTGGTAATTGTCCAATGGCCACCACCTTCAGTGCTATGATAACCCTCATCATCAAGTTTTCTAACGGAAATAAGGTTCAGACGCATATCCAGAACATGTCTGACATTCTTCAAGACAAGAGTACAACCTGTATTCATTACCAATGATACCTCTCCCATGCCGACAACATCGCATGAGGCTTGATTGCCCATTCTTACACGACCAAAATCTCCAGGTGTATAAGAGGTAAAGAAGTGTCTGTGAGGCGTCACATGATAAGACGCACCTGAATCACCGAATCAATCACTGTCGTGACTCGCAACATTAATTGTATCATCATCACAGTACACAAATACATCACTGGTAGTTACTACTGCAGTAGTGTCATCATCATTTGATTCATCCTTCTTGCCTTTACCTTTTCTCGCTGCTAGTTCTCTCTTGAGAACCTTGCACTCCCTCTTAAAGTGCCCATTCCCTTGACAATGGTAGCACACGACATCTTTCTTGGATTTAGACCGTCCTCTGGACTTGTCATTCCGATCACGTGGCCCTCTGCTTTTACTTCTCCCTCTTCTATCTGACTTTTCTGTCACCAGAACCTGCGACTCAGACTCAATACTCTACTCTTTTCTTCTGACTTCTTCATTCATCAAAGCCTCTTTGACCTGATCTAAGGTCAAGACACCATCCTGAGTTGAATTACTGATTGACACTACCAAAGTGTCCCAACTGTCTGGAAGAGAATTAAACAATACCAAAACGTGCACCTCATCATCCAACTTTAAACCTACATTTACTGTCTGGTTCAATAAACCCTGAAACGAACTCAAGTGCTCATTCATGCTAGCACTATCTTTGTACCTCAACCTGATAATCTGTTTCAGTGCAGATGACTTATTAATGCCAGACTTCTTCCAGTACATATTCTGGATTTTCTCCCAAAGTTCATCAGCTTTTGTTTCTCCCGAAAAGTGATGAAACACACTTTGATCAATCCACTGTCGAATATTACCAATAGTCTTCTGTGCATATCAGCCTACTTTTTATCAGTCATATCACTTGGCCTACCTTCATCCCCTAGAACAAGATCAAATAAATCTTTGCAATACAACAAATCTTCTATTCTAGGCTTCCACATATGGTAATTGGATGAAGTCAATTTAATCATCATACCAGTACCCGATAACTCTTCCATTTTATTGGTGTAACACCTCAAGACGTAGCTCTGATGTCACTGTTGTGGCGGAAAAGGTAAAAACACAATAAACCAGCAGAAACGATTCCCAAGAAAAACTCATTTCCTACTACCAATAAAATAAGACAACCAAACAAGCAAATGATCAAGAACTGATAAAATAAAGGAGGCACACGAATTTACGCGGAAACCCAAATTGAAAAAAACCACGGGACTGTAACAACAGTCAAATTTCCACTATCACAATAATGGGAAACAATCTTCACCAACCGGTGGATACACAGGACTTCACCCAAAGGTGGATTACAATAATACTCTTTCACACACCCATATCACAAAGTAGGACTAGAAGGATCTCACCAAAAGAGAGCTAAACCGAAAACTAAACTGGAGGAATTGTAGATCTTGTTGAGAGGAACAGACATGCAAACTTGCACCAATAACTGACTCTGTTTCGTCACCCGATCAAAGCCACAAAGTGAAACACTTTCTTCTCACAATACCAAAACCTCATAAACCCTAGTTCTCTCTTTTTTTTCTCGTGCACAAAAGATGTTGCATGGCTGCCCTTGTTTTTGCTTGTCAAACTCACGTGCAAAAATCACACCACAAAAGAAAACCAATGGTTGCTATTTATAACCATCGGCCAAACAAACCAAAATCTATATTGGATTGGTTTTGTCTTTCTCGACCAAACCAAAAACCAAAGCCAAATTGGCTTGGTTTGATTTCCTTTTTGCTGGCCCAATTGGAGGAGAACTCGGGCCCAACACTAGATAACTACGCTCAACGTGTGGATTATTGATTTGCTCAATCTGCCTGAGGTTGGCCGACAGCCTTCTTTTCTACTTTTATCTTTATTTGATTATTGCCCTTTTGATGTTTGTGGCTGTCATTGTCAACTTGGGAGATGATGAATGATTCTGTTTTCTCAACTTGGACAGAGGAAAGAAAACATGGGGAGAATCGGTTCGGTTCCTGCAGCAGAATAAGAAGAACGACCCATCAGTTCAATACAGTAGTTATATTGCTAACAAACAATTGGTTCATCTATGTAACCATCTTACTCTTGGAGAAGTTACAAATGCTTGTCTAATCCCTCCAATGCAACATAAACAAATCCTTGATTAAACTGCAAGTTGAAGAAATTGCACCTTATATGGCACATATATCTTAATTGGGCCAGCAAACAATTTGATTCATCTATTTCTACAGTCTCTTTTTTTTTTTTTTTTTTTGTTTGGTTGACAAATATTACGATGCTCTCGTAGAAACAGAAGAGTTTTGGATCGGTACGTTGAGGTTAAAAATTAAGTACCCCAAGTCGGCGACCTTCAGCAAATGATCAACTCGGGGCACTTGTCGACTTGAGAAAGTTGACGAACGTTCTGATATGCGACCAGCAGACTTGATCTCTAATTGGTTGACCCTATAACGGATCACATTTTTGGATTACGAGTTCTTCATTAAAAGAGTTGAGTGCGGAAATATGCTCGATTGGAGTTCGAACCGCTACCATTTCTTCAACCACCTCCGGGGCTGCAATAGAACTAACATCAAACAAGACATCTATCTCTAACCAAAATTCAATAATTAAGACAAAATCTCATCAAAAGACACAAGTTAAAATGGCATTATAACTACTGTATATATTTCGACGGCCTAGATATAAAATTTCATCAAAAGATTCACATGTTTTGATGGAAGTGTTATGTTTTCTATTTATAAGATCAGCTCCAGCTGACTGGTTATGCACTGAGGAAATAACCAAGTTGTTCTAACATGATTTTGTAGGCTTCTCTCTTGGCGCATTCTCTTCTAATTGAGATTTATAGGATCCTTCTTCTCTCCATACCTAAGCGTTCGAAGCTTAAATGCCCACCCTGAAAAGGAATGTAGCAGGCAAAATCTCACAAACATTGCCACAATCAAGTTCAAGAGATTTCAATTATTTTCACTTACACAAGTAGTTTTGACGCTTAATTAGCCCAAGATGCAAACTCTTGTGCTTGCCTTCGCTGTGAGTTACAATGCGTCATCATTGACAGAAGAGCCTTGTGACGAGAAATGTATTCTTATAATATTCTACAACAAAACTAAACCAAGGGAACAATGATACATATTCATATTAGAACCAGTAACCAACAGACTTACAAAGATCTTCCAATGTATAGAGGCCTCGATCTTTCTTCTTGAAGTAACCTGCTGGTTGCTTAAACTGATTTTTGTCCATCCCTGTTGGTTTTTTGTGATCATTCAGCCTCAAAGGGGATACATAGGAACATCTTATCTACGGAAAAGATCATTTGGCCGAAACATTCACATCTTCAGAAGACCAACTCTGTTGATAGAGTAGTACTTGAATACCTTGCGACTTGCGCCTTGCGGAGTAACAGGTGCAGCCGCTGAAGATTGCCTGAATCACTTGTCATAATGTATCTGCGGGTATTAGCTAGGAGTCAGTTAAAATAACTATCTTATGATCTAATGAATTGAGCAATATAATGTGAAGCAAAATAAGTTACCTTGGACAGAGAATTGCACGTACTGTAAACATCTAGCTGGTAACACTAGTTTTCTGCAATTAATGCTGATTTTGCTTCTCTTTTTTTTTTGCTCGCCGAAATGACCTGAAAGCAGTAAGAAATAATTCATATTACTACTCCAACATCTTTATAAAATAGACACTCTACAGTAGAAATAGCAACATCCTGAATTGAATTCCATTTAACAAACTTGAATCTTTATGCTCCAAACCAAATGCTGTTACTTTCTACATTTATTGGTGAAAAGAGTAGGGATGAAATTTTTTGACCTTGCCAATGAACATAAGATCATGAAAAGGCTGGGCATGGAGTCAAGTTTCACAAATCTGCAATGAAAAGTACTGTAAGGAAATCATACAGTGCTAAGTGGATATCAGTTCACAAGTTTTTCCGTCAGTCAAGGAAATTGTAGAAATACAAGTACAAATATGAAATATTTGGATGAAGGAAAATCTGTAGCTTAGTTTACCTCTAAATCCCCTTTTTCATTCACTATATCACGACAGGATAGTAGCCACTGGCCACTGTTACTTTTCTTACTCTTCACAAAGCTCACTGGAAAAAGAACACCAACTTCGAACAGTTTTCCCAACATAAAATTACTTAAACAGTGGAGAGATACTTTATACTTTTTGTCAAATTAAACATAATCCGCAAACAAAATATTAAGAATCAGTACAATAATCAAATATAAACACGACATGAGCCAAAACAAAAAACAGAAAAATTACCAGTTAATGGCGGCGTCCTATAATTCTTATCTTCTGTTTCTTCTCCTTGGCCATTCTTACTTCTGCATTCTTATCATAATCATCATGATCTGAGACAAAAACTTGAAACTCAATGTTTCCCGCCTCTCGTTGTTGTTCCTCAATTGCCTTCACAGAGTCAAAGGCCTTAGGAGATGAAATGAGGACAATGGTCTTGAAGGTGCAAATGTCTCCAAAGCTAGAAGGAACACCCTCAAGTCTCTTACAATAATATATGGCAAGCTTCTCGAGACTAGGAAATGGATTTTCACAGTCGAAGTCATTTATTTATTTCAAATTCATCCAATACAGCTTCAAATATCTAAGGTTGGGAAACTCCTCATCTCCCAAATTCCAATTAGACCCCTTACATGCATCAAATGATAACTTTAGTACTTGGAGATTAGGCAGCTTCCCAATCACTGACATGGACTTCCAAGGTATTCCTGTATGCCATATAGATAACTTCTTGAGAGTATCAGGAAAATTTATTCTTAGATTTCTCCAAGAATGGTTGACAGGATCAACATCAGAACTAACATGCCTATCAATTTTTAAGGTCTCCAGTTTTCTCAAAGATCCAAACATGGATAACCACTCGGGATGTAACTCTGTATCGTAGAAGCAACACAATTCCCTAAGCCATGGTAAACTTCCTAGGAACTCCTGGATCTCAACATCATAAGGAATAATTATTTCGCCAAGTCTTTTGATGTTACTAGCTGCTGCTGTTGAGGAAAGACTTTCTTGAAAACTCCACAAGTGAAGACGAGATTTTATAACACGCAACCATCGTAAACTTTTCATCTCCCACAAGAATTTTGGCAGCCACAGAAAATCTTCCATTTTTAAAACCAATCTTTCCAAGTTCCACAATCTAACTATTGACCTTGGAATACAACAAAACTTACCAATTAATGTTACGTACCTCAAATGAATATTGGTGAATATTATTTCAGGAATTGTAGAGTCACTCATAGTCAAACAGCCCATATCCAACATTGTAAGAACTCTAAAGCTACTTAAAAAGGAGTACAAGGATTTACTGTAAGTTTTTAGTAAGGAATCAGACGGACCCCAGGTTAAAGAGTGAACCATGCTCGTTGGTAGTTGCTTTATGGAAACACAAGATATCGGATGACTGAACTCTGGACCACTCTCCAAAATGTAAAGCCAATAGTGGTTCTTGTTATATTCTTTGGGAACAGCATCAGAGTCTAACATATGTAAGAAATTATCTTCAATGCACTTCTGAATGCATAAGTCGTATATAAGATCATGAACCATGCAACGCTTTATTGTCCCCATCGGACCTCTTTGCACTACCACAACTAAATTTTGAGAAACAAGATAATCCAAGTATTCTCTTGCCAAATTTTCTGAGCACCCCTCCTGACCATTTCTCATTACCAATCCATTAGCAATCCAATGGCTGATCAAAACTCTAGCATAAAAGATTGTACCACGGCGAAAAGCTCCAACATACAGAAAGCATGGCTTTATTTGAGTTGGCAAATTATTATAACTCAACTCTAATACGTGCATACACCCTTCACTAGCAAGGTGTGCTTTTAAATTTTCTGCTACTTCCATCCACAAATCCAACTCTCGTCCTATCTGTTTGAGGTGAGAGGCAATTAGGGCTACTGCCAAAGGCAACCCTTTGCAATGTATTGCAATTTCTCTCCCTACATCTAAAAAATATGGAGGGAAGCCATTGTCAAAACACATATCTTGAATTAATTCTAAACTTTCCTCATCAGAAAATAAGCGAAGAGGATGAGGGACCGAATTCTGCTTACATTGTAATGCAAGATCATGATTCCGAGTTGTAAACAAGATACGACTTCCATTTCTATCATTTGGGAACAATGCTTGCACTTGGCCCCACATATCAACATCCCATATGTCATCCAACACAAGGAAATATTTTCTCCCTTTCAAACTTTTCCGCAAACTATCAGCTAAATCATTGGTTTCCGCATTGTCACCATCATTGCCATCACGAACAAACCGCAGGATGTCGGCAAATAATTTACTCAGTTTACATTCTTTTCCAACATAACCCCATGCAGTTTTGTCAAAACGATACCTAATTGAAGGATCGCGAAAAATTCTTTTGGCTAGTGCGGTCTTGCCTTGGCCAGGCATTCCAGAAATTGAAATGATAGTGAGAGGCTTTTGTCCTCTCAGAACTTTATCTAATATTGCTCCTGCATCCTCCTTAAATCCAATAAAAGCTCTTTCATGCTTGGAAGTTGCTTCTCTTGGTAGAAAAGCATTATCGGACCCTGTCTCAATAGTCACCTTTTTGCTACTATACATGTGAAGGTCATCTTCGATCTTCTCCATTGCACGTTTCACGTGGCTTATGTCTAGCAAGACATTCGGAAGGCACACAATGCCATACCAAACAGAGAAACTCGCGATTGGGCACAACTTTATTACATATGTAGCGAAGTGTATGAGGCTGACGATTTCAGTCTGCAAATCTTTTAGCATTCCGTCCTCATTTTGTATTTCCAAGGCATGTTGGAGAATTGGCCTTAGCGATGCTAGGCCATGATGGACTCCTTCAACATGACTTTTAACTGAAGGAATAAACTTAACTCCCCCTTTCAGCATGTTGTCCAGTTCCACCAAGAAGGAATCAAGATATCCAATTGCATTAGTCCTTGGAGAATTGAGTTGTGCAGAAACAGAGCAAACAGGATACAAGTCACTTACTTTAAGCTTGATTATATCAACCATATGAAGGAAATCAAAAAGCTTTTTAGTCTCAGGATCACACAAAATGGATGGCACTTCACTAACAATTTCACGAATTTCAGCCCATATTAATTTTGTTTCTTGCGAGTCCTCATCCGGTCGATCCATGGCAAATGATAACAAGAATGTCAACCCCTCACGAAGTTTTTCAACATCATCCTTCGGGTATTGCACGATTACATGTTCAAGAAGCAAGTCAATGTAATCAGCAAGGAATTGGGAAAGAATTGTACCTTGGAATTTATGACGCTCCCCAGCGAGAAACACATCAAGGATCAACATCATTGATTCCGGGTTGCAGGAAATCACATCAGAAACCAAAGCTTCCAAAGTAGAATCTGGAATTTCATCATATTCCTCAATAAAATACAAGTATATGAGACATGAGATGTGAGTTGACCAAATTTGAATGTAACGCATGAGTAATTCGCTCTTGTATGATCCATATGGCCACTCATTAAGAACCTTAACAAAGGCTGCAAAGAGCTCCAGATGCCCTTGAATCAAGGCAACTTCTTGTTGAGCAACACAAAGCTGGTCAAGATTCTCTTTTATCAAACACATGAAATCCTCCATCTCAACTCTGAATTTGTAAGTCAACGACATTTCGAGTTGGGAAGAGAGCTTACATGTGAATAAGAATCCACCATCTAACAAAAGATAACAAATGTCTCGTGCTTGTGACCTGAGTTCTTGAATCATCGTACTCAAACGATAACCCAGCGGCTCCAAACTCGTGATCTTTTCCCCTTCATTCGCAGCTTCGAACCTCATTTGAATCTCCTCTGCAAATTGGCCAAGTTTTTGCACCATCAGAGTAAAACCCAACATCCCATCTGCATCCAAGAGCTCCTCAGGAAAGCCCAGCCCCCAACAAAACATTTTGAAGAATTGTAAGTCCCAACCCAGCTGCCGCATTGGTGTCACCAAATATGGAGGAAGATTGCCATTTAGCAGTGCTAATATGACATCAAGTGCAGGATCAACGCAAGTGCGATACTGCTTCAGCTTCCATTCCCACTCCATTTGTAAAACCAAACAAAATGGAAAATTTGCCGACCCAGTTTTTGCTTTAGTCTGTGTTTGAAGAGTTCAAATCAATGGCGTCCTAGTTAGTTTTATGTATATATTTAATTGCTGTTGATAAAACTACAACGCAAGTAACTTCACCAGTTGTACATACATACGCCATATGAATTCTTTTATTGTCTCTATCAAATTGAGAGGTTAGAATTTGGTGGTAAGAAATTGTATAAAAATTGCTGCATTCTGGACTGCCGAACTCCGTTCTCAAGGTTGGTCAGCAATCTCTTTTCTATGCATGGGTGCCAACTGCCAAGTGATCAATCATTTCTTTTTTTAACATTTTTTTTATTAAAACAAAATAATAATAAGAACTACTCATTGAGTCATTGTCCCAGGAAATTTAATTGAACCATTATTTCTGGACACAAGATATACAAATTTATATTTTTTTCTAGGACATATACAGTATGAGATGATTTTAAATAAGTAGATACCAGGCTATAAACTCTTTTGGGTTGATTAAGTACCATATCGATATTACTAGAAAATAAAGTATATTTGTTTCTGATGGTAAGTTTATCTTCTTGACTTCTGATTGTTTTGTTAAGAAATATTGGTAACTCGAACATATTGTTATATTAGTACCTATTTTTTGAAATGTAGTAATTTAACTTTTTTTTCTAGTCTTTATGTTTCTCTTATTGTCCCCAAAAAAAAATTTTAACACACTGAATTTGTAATATATGCGATAACTTACACATAACCTTCATGTAAGATTTTTAAATTTATATGATACGGGAAATTAAAAAAGAAAATTAAACTTGTTTTTAAAATAAGATTAGAAAAAAAAAATACTTGCTTTGAAAAACAAATCACATTAAAATTTCTAGATTTGCACTGTTATGTTACAAATATCAGAATTTAATTTTTTTTATATATATAGAGTACAAAATAATCACTTTTATTCTATGGTTATTTATAATAGCCTTCCCAAGATGTTCATTGGATTCATCATTCGAGCTTGATATAATCGTATGAGAGAATTAAGTAATTAGCATAATTAAGTTGTTGGGGGCGTCGATTATCATAGAAATTAGGGGTGCGAAAGCTGACCAAGTACAACAAAGCAGCTACCTAATCACTGTGTTTTTCTACTCAAATTCATTTAGTATTGGTTTGTAATGGCGTCTTCTTACCGGCTATATAATGACTTTTTTCTATATTTGTCTCTCTATGGATTTCTTCGATTTTTATACTCCTTTCATCCTGATTTGCAATAAAATTTGGCTACATGGTGACATCATGACAAAGTTGCAAAACATACCTTGCTTTACAAAGTGATTAAGAAGACGCCATTACGACATACACAAATTTCACTCAACATACATATTTTGATTTTGAATTAGAAAAGTAATTTTGCTGAATTGAATAATGAATAGAAATAATTGAGCAGGAGGGTAATTCATAGTTTTTAACATTAAAGATTACTATTCTTGATTTAAGTACAATTTTTTTTTACGAAACCAGAAAACATGAACAAAAATGGACAGAGAGTACAATTTTTCTCTTGTCCACCCTCTCATTCCCCACATTTGACAAAAAAACACACCAAAAGAAGATATTTTACGACTAGATTTTTCATAAGTCGTATATTTTTTTTATCTCGAAATAATTTTGACGTTACTTAGATGATTTAAAATTAATACTCCCTCCGTCCCAAAATTATTGTCTAGTTTGAGATTTCACTTTTAGTTTATTTTGTACTAAAAATGAAAACTCAAACAGGACAATAATTATGGGACGGAGGGAGTCAAAAAACGGATCGTTTGCTGGTATGAATATGGTACCATAGAAAAAAAAAAGGACAGAATGAGAAACTTAGCAAGTCAAAAAGACTATAAAATGCATATCTGTCAAGGGGTTATCAAAAAAGTCAACCGGCAAGTCCATAGCCTTCAAATGTCGACATTTCAAGCCGTTTGTCGACTGGACAAGTCGACGAACGGTTCAGATATGCTGCCCAACAGCACAATCCTGCAAGTTAATAACGGAACTTTGATTTTCCAAACAGCTATCCGCGAAAGTGCAGCAATGAAAACATGGGTTCATCTTGGGAGAGAACCAGAGTCCAGAGGACACCCTGATATGAGATCTGCATTGCAAAGAAAGGAGTTCAAAAACCATAAAAGGCAATCATTAATTCCACAAGGTTTTCCAAGGGACGTGCAGAAATAAAAGTACAAAATTATATGGGTGAACCGTGTGGACTAAAAAGATGGTTTTAGCGAAAGTTGTGCGTACTGAGCCTACTTGAAGGCCATGCAGAACAGTAATCGTGGAGACCAGGGAATCCAGTGATGTTGAAATTGTAGACACGCAACATTAAAATGTCTCATGGCAATGTTGTTCTGATCAAACCTGGGAGACAACATTTTCAGGATTGGATTGAGTGAGACCTTGGTTTTTTTTTTTTTAAAGTACTTGTTATTAATTAGAAAATATCTATACTATTATATCGTATTCTTACTTATGCAAAATTTTGTAGATCACCAACTTCATTATGACTGCCTTTAATCAAATAGCAAAATTGAAACCGAGATATTAATACACATAATAACCCAACTATTTCTTGTGCCTCGCCTGGTAGAGATTGGAGATTTTGGTTGGTGACTAATTGTTCACAATCAGTAAGGACTTGAACACGTGAGATGCCCAAATTTTCCGCTTCTTGTAAGGTCTTAAGACATGTCATTGCCTCCGTTTGGAAAGTAGACAACGCGTCTAAGGGATCCGACCTAATCTGCATTAACTGATCAGTCGAAGATGTTAATTTCCATGCTCCCCCGCTTTCCTTGTACGTGGATTGAAAGAGCCATCAAAGATGAGTTTGGAACAATCCTGTAGTATCCGGTTGTGTTGCTGACTAACTAGTGTACTTCATAACAAATTGTTTTTTGGTTGCAGATTCTCCATTTTTCCCGTGTCGACAGTAAACATCGATCCCACTCTATTCTCTTCGAACAGGACATCTTCAGGGGACCAAAATTCTTATGCTAGCTCAATGCTGACCACTCTGCTGTCTGCACCACATTCACAGATCACGGTTTTACAACATCAAAGTCTGAAATCATTTAAATCTTAGAACAATGTGCATGTAAAGGTTCACTGCCCATAATTCCCGATATTCTTGGTTCTGACAAACACTTGACAAGAAATCTTTGTTGTGGCAAATACTCCCGGTGTCCTAAAATTATTGTGCAGTTTGGATTTTCAACTACACAATAATTTTGGGACAGAGGGAATATCATTTTCATATCAACTCATATTCAAACCTGAATTCATAAGACATGGCCATGAAACCGAATGCATTTCCTAATTAAGGCCAGATGAAGGACGGAACAATCTAACAACAAAGATTTCTATATTTGAGCAGAGTTTACCTCTAATCCCCTCCTCCATTCCTTATATCAGGATGGCGGCCATAATTCTTCAAAAAGCTCGCCCGAATAACCACCTTTTAACAAAACCAATGTTCAAGTGAGACCAATGAAATAGATTAACCCAATATTAAAAAGAGAAAAATTTTAACAAAGGAGGTTTTTACAAAACTTACTGATGGCCACGTGAAAAACGTTATCTGTGTTTCTTCTTCTTCTATTCCTTATCATCAAACTCCTATGAATACCTATCATAGTCATCATGGTCTGAGACGAACAAATGAAAGTCATGGTTTCCAACTTCTCTTTGTTGTCGCTCAATCGCCCGCATTGAGTCTAACACTTTAGGAGATGAAATAAGATTAATGGTCTTCAAGGTACAAATGTCTCCAAAGCTAGAAGGAACTTCCTCAAGTCTCTTACAATAATAAACCTCAAGCTTCTCGAGACAAGGAAATGGAGTTTCACAATCAGTGTCATTTATCCGATTCAGATTCATCTGATACAGCTTCAGATACCTGAGGCTTGAGAATTCCCCCTCTCCCAAATCCCAAGTAGTTCCCTCGAAGGCATCCCACCATAATTTGAGAACTTGAAGGTTAGGTAACTTCCCAATAACCGACATCGCCTTCCAAGGTAGTCCGATATGCCACAAACACAACTTCTTAAGAGTATCAGGGAAGTTAGGAAGGTTAGTTCTTCCATTTTTCCGGCAATCGGGAATCGCATCAAATGAGATGTGCCTATCAATCTTTAAGCTCTCCAGTTTTCTCAATGATCCAAACATGGATAACCACTTTGGATGTAACTCTGTATCATAGTAGCAATCTAACTTCCTTAGCCTTGATAAACTTCTTAGAAACTCAAGCATCTCAACATTGTAAGAAATAATCACTCCGCTAAGTGTGTGGACATTACTTGCTGCGGCCATTGTGGATGGATTTCGTCGAAAACCATCGAAGTCAGTACAAGATTTCTCAACACGCAATGAGCGTAAACTTTTGATCTCCCATAAGAAATTTGGCAGCTGCAAAATATAACTTTCTGCAAATATAACAAGTGTCTCCAAGTTCCACAATGTAGCTAATGACCTTGGAATGAAACGAAACGAACCACGTAAGGCCAAGTATCTCAAATGAATATTGATCAATATTATTTCAGGAACTGTAGAGTCTCCCAAACGCATATTGATTGTGTCCAATATCGTAAGAACTCTAAAATTGCTCAAAAAGTCACACACGATCTTATAATTTGTTGGTACAAAATCACACCAGTGTAAAGAATAAACCTGATTAGTTGGTAGTTTGTTTTTGTTGGTAGAGCTAAATCTCAGTTGGGTCAAATTTAACCAATTGTAACGGATGGAAAGCCAACGCTGGTGATGATTATACTCCTGAGGAATAGCACGACAGTCTACCAACTGTAACAAATTATCTTCAAGGGTTTTCTGCAAGCACAAGTCATATATAAGATCGTGGACCATACAACGCTTTATCGTCCCCATTGAACCTCTTTGAATGACAATAACTAAATTTTGTGAAACCAGATAATCCAAGTATTGTCTTGCCAAATCTTTTGAGCTCTCCTGCTCATTTCTAAGTATCCATCCTTGGGCAATCCAATGATGCATCAAAACTCCGGCATAAACTATTGCGCCTCGAGGAAAAGCTCCAAAATATAAAAGGCATGGTTTTAAATGAATTGGCAAATTCTTATAACTATGCTCGATTATCTGCATACACCCTTCACTTGCGAGATGTGATTTCAAATTCTTTGCTACTTTCATCCACAAATCCAATTCTTGTGGTATGCATTTGAGGTAAGAAGCAATGAGGGCTACCGCCAAAGGTAACCCTTTGCAACGTATTGCAATTTCTCTTCCTACCTCTAAAAGTTTCGAGGGAAAACCATCATGATAAGAAAGTATATCTTTTGCCAATTCCAAACTTTCCTCATCAGAAAATAAGGGAAGACTATGAGAGACTGAATTCGGCTTTGATTGTAATGCAAGATCATGATTCCGACTTGTAAACAAGATGCGGCTTCCATTTCTATCATCTGGAAACGATTCTTCCACTTGGCGCCACATATCAACATCCCATATGTCATCCAAAACTACGAAATATCTTTTCCCCTTCAAGCTTTTCCGCAGACAGTTGGCCAACTCTTGGATTTCCCATTTCTCCTGATCCTTCTTGTCAATATCAAACCATAAGATGCTGGCCATTAATTCTTTCATTTTACATTCTTTTCCCACAAAACACCAAGCGGTTTTGTGAAAATGATACCGAATGGAAGGATCATGAAAAATCCTTTTGGCCAATGTGGTCTTGCCTTGGCCAGGCATCCCAGAAATGGAAATGATAGTGAGAGCTTTTTCTCCTCCTAGAAGATGATTCAATATTGATTTTGCATCCTCCCTGAATCCTATTAAAGCTCCTTCATGATTGGAAGTTATGCCACGAGGTAACGAAGAACTATTAGACTCTACCTCCATCTCAGTAGTGAGCTTTTTGCTTCTGTACAAGCAAAGGTCATCTTCAATCTCTTCAATGCCACATTTTACAAGCTTTATGTCTTGCAGGACAATCGGTAGGCATATAATACCAAACCAAACAGAAAAACTCATGGTTGCGCACAACTTTATAACATATGTAGCAAAATTTATAACATTGACGATCCGCGTCTGTAGATTTCTAAATTTATTGTCCTCACTTTGTAGCTCCAAGTCATATTGGAGAAATGGCCTTAGCAATGAAAGGCCATCATGGACGCCTATAACGCGATTTTTTACCGAAGGGATAAACTCCACCCCTCTTTCCAGCATATTGTGTAGATCTTCTAAGAGGGTATCAAGGAATCCGATTGAATTAGTCCTTGGAGAATCAAATTGTGAAGCAAAAGAACTGACAACATACAAGTCTCTTACTTTAGACTTGACTCCGTCAATCTTATGAAGGAAATCAGAAAGTTTATTAGTCTCAGGAAAGCACACAATAGATGGCACTTCATTGATCATTGCATAAATCTCAGCCAGTATCAGTTTCGTTTCTTGTGATTCCTCATGAGGTTTATCCATCGAAAACGATAACAAGAATGTCTACCCCTCTTGAAAAAGTTCAACATCATCATCTTTTCCATAATGAATGACCACATGTTCAAGAAGAAAATCAATATATTCAGCAAGGAATTCAGGAAGGATCGTACCTTGGAATTGATGATGCTTCCCAACCTTAAACACATCAAGGATCAACTTAATTGACCGAGGATTGCCCGACAGAATTGTCTGCTTCAAATCAGAAACCAAATCTTCCATAGTAGATGCCAAACAACTGCCATCACACCCTCCAACAAAATACAAGTACGCGAGACACGAGACGCGACTTGCCCAAGTTTGAACAAGATAAGTGAGCTCGCTTCTGTAGCTATATGGCCACTTATTAAGAACCTTAACAAAGCCGGCAAAGAGCTCGAGTGCGTCTCCAATGAAGCCAACTTCTTCTGGAGCTCCACGAAGCTCGACAAGATTACTTCGGATCAAAGACACGAAATCCTCTGTTTCGACTCTGTATTTATAAGACTTCGCCTCGAGCTGGCTGGAGGACTTGCATTTGAATCCACCATCTAACAAAAGAAAGCAAATATCTCTGGCTAGTGGGTTGAGTTCCTGGATTACTGTCCGTAAACGATTACTCATTTCCTCCCAATTTGTGATCTTTTCCGCTTCATCTGCTGCTTCGAATAACATTTTAAACTCCTCTGTTTCTTGCCTCATTTTTTGCACCATGAGAGTAAAATGCAACATCCAATCTTCATCTAAAAGATCTTGGGGAAATCCTAGTCCCCAACTGAATATTTTGAAGAACCTCAGCTCCAAATACATATCCCAGATAAGTCGGATGACATGAGGAGGATATCGGGAAGGATGATTGTTTAAGAGTTCCAGGATTTTAAGTGCAGGATCAACACAAGAGTGATACTGTTTCAGCTTCCATTCCATGTTTAATTATGACACAAAAGAAACTAATTTCGATCGCGAAAAAAAAAAAAAAAAACTGGATGTAAGAGTTTATGTCCTGATTTAAGCATAAATTTCCGTTGAGAAAGTGAGGATTAGAGCTTAGTGATAAGATATTGTATGAATAAATTTGGAGCATATTTTGCATTGTCGAGCTGTTCATGGATCTCAAGGTTGGTCAACTATCCTTTTTTTTTTTTTTCCAATGCCAAGTTGCCATCTCGTTTCAATTGATTAATCAGTATGTAATTGTTCAAGTTATTGTGATTAATGTATGAGTGCAGCTAGAGCTTGTAGAGATTGTAGTCATTCACAAGTTGGGAGAGTTTTTAATTAGCAAAAGTTGGGAGAGTAGCATTTGGATGAGGAAAACAATGACTTCAAACCTGTGATGCATACATAATAGTATACCGAAAAAAATCACAGAGTTCAAAAGTTTCTTACCAACTTTATTTCTGACAAATCAATCACCAAGGGCAACTTTAAGGGAGTTTGAAATATAGAACAAATATTTAATAAATTAAACATCTTGAAGATCTAGTGGATTTATACATATTGATGATGCAGTTTATATTTATATTGATGTCATCATTTTATGACTTCCCAAGAGGCGAAGCCCAAAGACACCAGATGTTATGTGCTACTAGCAATTTTCCCAGCCCACGTCACTTGTTCAGTAATTTGCTCAAAGTTTATTGGTTAAACAAGAAAGCAGACAAATATCATATCAAGTCCACATTTGTGTGTTTCCATCACTCTAAGGCATACTTAATAACAAACAATTTAGAGCCCATACAAAATACTCCCTCTGTTTTGGCATTCAAAAAAAAAAAAAAAACCATTTTTTCATTTCAAGCAAAAAATTCAAATTTACTCTTATACTCCGTCTGTACCACACAAAAATAGTTCTATTTGTTGTACTATTTTAATTCTATAAAATGGGCTATTATAATTGTTGTAAGCCTTATATTTAATTGAATAATATGATTAGATCAATTTACTGTTAGGAATAACATAATTTGGGGGAAAAATGGGATAAATTGCTTGAATTATGAGTGGTTCTACCTAGTTCAAAATCAATAAATTGAACCATTATTAATTATTTATTATAAAACAGGAGGCATAGCATACATGTTCTCAAAAGGTGCCTTTTTGCTTAGTGCTGGGAGTTTGGCATATCCCGCTAAACCAATTCTTCCGCCGCCGCCCCCCGGTACTTGTCACAAAATTACAGAAGGGGTGGCAAGCAATAGACTACTTATATTTTTTTTACGCATCCAGTATTCGAAATTATTACGCCGACTAATCTGAATTCGAGCTGGATAGGTCCCTTTCGGAAGATAAAACTCTTCCAATAAGTATTTTATATTCTTTATTTTAAGAAAGTCAATAATAAAACGCAAACACATAGTAAAGATGAATATTCTATGTTAATCGTACTAAAAACTAATTTACACCCTGATTGAAGAGTTTGTTGGAGCAAAATCACGTTTGCATTTCATACCGAGCTATTACTCAAAATTTGCTTTGAATGCTCTATTGGTTTCTGCTTATAGTGGAAGTTACACATCGATCACTAGTGAAGTTTCAGGAAGTACACAAGAAACAATATATCTATTAAGAAAATAGTTTACATAATAATTTGTGAAATTTGTGAATTAGACTAAAATTAATATAATATATAAAATGTAATGTGAATTATTTTTCTAAGACAGAGGAAAGTGAAATTTTTCCTTCAAAATTAATGATATTGAAACTTGTATTGTACTAAAAAAAATTATAAAATTCACAATGGTAATGTGTGTGTGTGTGTGTGTTTTTTTTTTTTGACAGAATGAGTATTATTTTAGTAACATTAATTTACACCAGTTTTTTTGTTTGAAAGCTCTCTTTCGGAGCCGCAGCCACATGTACGCATTAATGCAATTCCTAGATGTGGTTTTCTGGCAAATCGAAGCAGAAAACCACATGTTATGTCTTGCTGATTTGTCACAATGGCATCTTATAGCTTTTATGTCCTTTAAATAAATATTTGCAGGGTACATTTTTACGTTGCTTTCTTCAACCAATTCGCAAGGGACATCATGCGTGCGTGCATGCATGCATCGGATTGTGCTTGAATTTGGCGAAAAAGGCTCATAATTGTAGTTAATATGTATATTCTGTGAGAAATGGAATACTCCGTTTGGAAGTTTTTCAAATAAGTGTATATTTATTGTTGACTTGAAAATCCGAAAAATGAATGTTAAAATGTTATTAATTATTTTTTAAACAAATAAAAACATAAAGTAAAGAAGCCTTTCCAACTGAGAATATATAAATGCCAATATATATACGAGGATACACGCCAGCCAACTCTTATCTTTTTTATTAAACGGGTGGAAAGTTTCATTAATAGAAAAGATCAAAAACAAAAACAAAAACCAAAAAAAAAAAAAAACAATAAAAACAAGAGCATACGTTGAAGGAGGAACTCCTTTTAAAATGGATAATCTATTTTTATAAGGAGTAGAAGAAAATTTTTAATCTGAGTATTTTTTTAATTATTATTATTATTTTAACTAAGAATAACATTATTTTATCAGAATTTCAAATTCAAATTTAGAAGAAGTTACTTTGGACATTGTGTAATTTTCTGAAAAGTAATTAACTTGTCCCGGAGACTGTAAAAACAAAACAAAAAATTTGAATTTGCAAATTCAGATCCGAAAGAGAATATACAGAGTGTCGCCTCAGTTACGTTTTAAGCTTGTGAGAAGAAACTTCTAAGCAGGAGGCCAGCACGTGACTTTAACCAATTCCCGTCTATTTATCTTTTGTGCGATATGGGTTTGTTTCACAATAATAAAAATAGTCCAATTTTCAGAATTAAAATCTTAAATTTTGTTAATGAGATTTATGTATCATCTAAAATTACGAGTAGTAATACATACAGAAAAAATTTAAAGGGAGGATGTGTCAATCATCAAAATTTTGCCCTAACCTTAAATACTTAAACTTCAAATAAAAATTGTTAAAAATAAATGGTTATGATTCATTCCCAATCAAAATTCCCTGTAAAATTTCACTACACAAATCATTATCCTAAAATTACTTAACAAACACGATACTCTATTTTTTTTTAATTTTCAATCCAAAATATTAAGTTAACCAATTTATAAATTTTAATTTTTCCAATTTGACTATTTCTTCGAAACGAAAGTTATAATGAATATAGACGGTACACTATACTGCCTTCAATCAATACTTTGTTTTATTTCTCCCTTCGAATGTAACTTTATTATATTCCATTCGTTCTATTTCTCACAGTCTATTTTATTTCACAAGGAAACCATAACAGTAAATGATTACTGAAATTAATATATTTCGTTATCTTTTGATTTTTATAATATTCTGGTTTTCAATGGTAGAAATATATTCTTCATTCTACAAGGTTGAGAGCAAGTTATGGAGGTTGGCTCCATTGTTGTATCACCATCTTTGAATGCAGATGTTATACGAATACAAAGACTACGTTTATTGAAACAAAATAATTTTATTCTGAAGTTATCGCGAACACAATCTTTACTAATTTCAAAGTCTTACCTCCCGAGTGTAAAACCAATGACCAGGATTACAAATTTCCTTTTTTTTTATAAATAAAGCTGAATAAAAACCTGAAAAAATAAGAAAACTGTACCAGATACGTAATATATCAAAAAAAAAAAAACCTATACCAAAATTTTCTTTTTCTGAAAAAGGTATCTGTATATTAATCAGAATTACCTAAACTATTACAATGACATGTATTATAAGCTATACTATGCAAGTCTCCAACCTCATTCTTCTTACTAGCTTTAATCAGTTGGCAGGAGTCAAAAGTTGAAAATAAAGCTAATAGTAAAGAAACAATCTCTTATGTCTCACTCGGTACCAGAGTATTTTGTAGATTAGTCTTCAACACTTCACAATCAGTATACACTTTGACCCGTGGAATGCTAAGTGTTGATGCTTCTTAGAGTGCCATAAGACAAGTCATGGCTTCCGTTTGGAAATGTGAGAGTGCTTGCAATAGAACCGACTTTATCTGCATAACCATACCTAGTGAGAAAAGGATCTTGCATGCACCGGCTGCCCTCCTAGTTTGTGAGTGAAAGGAACCATCAAATTGAATTGTTACATGCGTATCTCTAGTCCCTTGAGTCTAAATTGTAGCCAAGTGAGTGTGAGGGGGTCTCAACCTCTGTCGATTATTCTTATGCTGCATCAATTCACTTTGAATGATTTTCTAAGACATGACTGATTAATAATCTGATTCTTCCATATCTTGTCATTCCTTTCTGTCCATATTGTCCAAAAGATGAGTAAAAAAAATCTATATCAATTGAGGAGGGACGAGTCTGTATCTACCGAATGTACAACTCAAGTAAGAAAGCATTCGTGCAGTTAATAATGGATTGGTACAAAGAGTATGCAAAACTCCAAATGGCTTGAGAATTACATTTAACCACAACATGGATCGTTTAATCATGGCATTCCTCTAAAATACATTACTACTAGCTAGAGAAACCAAACAACCTATCGCAAATTCCGATTCATCTAATAAATGCATAACCTTTTTTTTTTTTTGGTATATTATGCACACGGTGTCCGAAGTCATTGTTCTGACTAATCCGAATTCGAGTCGAATAGGTTCCTTTCGGGAGGCAAATTTCTCCCAACAAGTATTTTAATCACTGCTACATACATATGGCCGGATTCGAATCCGAGTCATAATTAAACTAGCTCACTATCTTTACTACTTGGACCAAATGCTTATTGGTATAAATGCATAACCTTTGACTGAGCTGCTTCCATTACATGCGATCCGGATATTTACTCAATTTTTGCATTGCCTAAATTGACGGTCAGTTCATGAAACTCATTGAAGCTGATCATATGCAAAACGTTTAGAAGTAGATGGATATGGTAATGTAATGTAACCTCGGACACCAGCAATACATTTTCGCCATTAAATCAAGATCTCTCTGATGTAATAAATCTTCCAAAATGAAGTAATTTTACAACTTCTAACGTATCTCCTCTATAATGACCAAAGAAAAAAAAAAAGCTTCAAAAGCTAACTTTTACTCTTAACAGTGTCTCTAGTCAGCAATTAAGCAAAGAGAAAACAAAAACAAAGGAAATCCACGGCCTGATCATCTCCTCATCGGCAAGGCTTCAGTGGCTTCCCACATAAACAATCATTGGCAAAGAACGACGACGAGTCAAGATGGTCGAACGGTGGACCTGCCGGTATCCGCCCACAAAGGTGGTTGTGACTAACGTCAAGGTGGCCAATGTAACTAGCTGAACCAATAGACTTTGGTAAGCTTCCTTTAAGCTTATTGTAAGACAAATCAAGAACCGTAAAATATGAACTTGGCCCAAATGCATCCGGAATGGGGCCCTCAATTGCATTCCTGCTTACGTTCAACGAGGAGATTCGAGAACTTATCAAACTCGCCGGCATGGTACCGGAAAGATTATTCCCGTCCAGATTCAACGTGGCCAAAACCGACATTTTACCCAGCGACGCCGGGATGGAACCCGAAAGCCGGTTGAACGAAAGATCCAGAACCAAAAGCCGATAAATAGCCGAAAACGAATCCGGGATCAAACCTTGAAGTCTGTTCCGGCTCAATAAAGCCCGGCTCAGCTTTTTCATTTTCCCGATATCACTCGGAATCGTTCCTTGGATCAGATTATTACGAAGATCCAAGTGCGCTAACGAGGTTAAATTCGTCAATGACCTCGGGATCTGACCCGCTATTTGATTATCCGCCACGTGCAACAACACAAGCCGACTGAGTCTCCCAATATCCGCCGGGAGTTCGCCGGAGATCTTGTTTCCGGTCAGGTCAATGTGGCGGAGGAACGGCAACGACGTGATGCAAGCCGGGATGCTTCCCGAAATGCCCTTCCATTCCGCAACAGTCAGGCTGGAGAGCCAGCTCAGCTTGCAAATCTCCGGGGAGATCTTTCCGGTCATGTAACCGGTCCGGTGAGCCTTCTGGAAGATGGGTTCCTCCGAAATGCCGTGGAGGTTGATGTCGGCGACTCGCCGGTGCACCGGATCGCATTGTACTCCGTACCAGCCGTGGCAACAGTCGTTGCCTTTCCATGAGTTGAATATACCAATGTATGGTTCGCTTAAAGCGGCTTTGAAGGCCAGAAGCGCCGCCCTATCGGAAGGAGGGCAGCCATGGACGGCGGAGAAGATGGTTGCAAAGAGAAAAAGAAACGAAATCGTTCTTGAGCCCAACATTACTTCAGTTTGCATGTGGAGGGAAAACGTTTTCAAATTTTTCAATGCAGGTTTTTTTCTTTTTTCCATGCACGTCGAATCATCTACTTACTTATACTAGAGCAGTGAGGATGTGAAATGACGAAATTGGTCCTCACGTGCTGAAGACAAGTCAACTTCCGTAAGATAAGATCACAAGTTTCATTTTTTTTTTATAAATATATTGAGTAATTATTATTTGGGCAGAAATTCAGGAAGGTGATAGGCAAATGGAAGTGGTCGGTGAGAGGGCAACAGTTTTACAAGATTCAAGGTGATTTACTGGCATGCACTGGAATGGAAATCCTCATCATCATTGGAAGCATAATGCATGCTTTCCTACGACATAAAAAATAAAACCGTTCCATCTAATTTTAGTTTTGTTTTTTTGTCATTCTAGGTAAGAGAATAACTTTTGAAACCCTTTTTTCTTTTTTAAGGTGAACTACATTTTATTCCTGAACTTTAGGCTGATTTATCATAAGCCCCGGAATTTTGATAATATTATCGTACATCCTTTGAGGAGGGGTACTTAAACATTGAAATGAGTAAAATGACCATAGTTTACATACACTTCATCCGCTTTTCTTCTTTTAGGTTGTTCTTCATCGTTTTTGACAATTAAAAAAAATTACTTTGCCCCAAAAAAAAAAATACTTAGTTTGCCATTTTCACATTTAATTATAACATAAGGTAGTAAATGAAATTTAATCCATAAATAATAATATAAGTTTATTATGCTTTAAAAAATCATGATATAACTAATTTGAAAATTTTATTATTTAAGTGCATTAATATAAAAAAAAATCAATATGGAGCATTTTTAAAAACTTAATTTATAATATAGGTTTACAACAAAATATCTATATTACAATTCAAAGAATAGGTATTAAACCGTACTTTTGACTATTTATTTAAAATTGATGATGGTAGTATTATTAAAACTCATAAAATTTATCATAGATTAGGTAAAACTTGGTTGTTAACCAAAATGTAGTTCCCCCTTTTTCTGAACAAGAAGGTGGCAACTAACACATTTTTGGAATATATTACCATATTACGTCATATTCTTACCATGGTTTAGTGCTAAATGGTAGACCTTTAAGCCATTGTAAATTTTCAAGTCCTTGAGTTGCAAAATAATCAACAACAAAATTAGTTTCTTAGTAAATATGGCTATCTTTACAACTCGGTCTCACTTCAAAGGCTCTTGATCCCATATACTATTTCAGCATTAATAACCAAAATTTGATAGAGTGACACAATGTGTGTATTCGTAAATTAATGTATTATGATTATATTTTCTAGCTAAGTATGTCATCTAACGTCTACATTAATTTACTTCTCATTGTGGTTGGATTAATGTGCTTTGCTGCCGACGTGATTTGCAGACTACTACTGAAGTAGACGTGAACGGGAACATTTGTGATGGATTTCCAAACAAAGCTAGGAATCGTGTGGTCCTGTTAACAATTTATGTATATATATATATATATATATATATATATATATATGAGGAAGCCGAAACTTATAATACAAAAGAACGTCATCTCAAAAGAGAGTCAGGCAAGTCAGCGGCCAGTTTCCCTAATGTCGAGCCTGGGGGGTTGCCAAAATATGTAGCCCCGGCATATACGAAAGGCCTAATTTGGCTAGTGAATCAGTCGATTCATTGCCGTTACGCCTTATATGTGACGTTTCAACTGACCATTGGAGGTCTAAGAGTTTTCTAATTCTGTACAAAATATTGCTACTAGTAGGAGAGTTGATGGAATCATTTATTTGCTTGACTGCTTGGGTGGAGTCCATCTGAAGCTGGACTTTTTTAAGGCCCAAAGTCCAAGCCAGCTTTAGCCCAAAAAATGCAGCCCGTAGTTCTGCGTCAAGGATCAGACAATTTCCAATTTTAGCTGAGAATCCTATTATCCATTTTCCTTGATGATTTTGAATTAGTCCTCCTGCAGCTGCCATCGCCGGCGCTGATGATACTGCTCCGTCGACGTTGAGGCGTACCCAATCCGATGGTGGGGGGTTCCAAACTGCGTATTCATTGGTGCTATTGATCCTTGGTTGGAGCCTGCTCAATCGGGTTCTGTTGGATCTGTTAACCTCCGAAGCCATCACTTTGATTCTATAACACAGCTCCCTGGAATTGATGTATTCCTCTTTGAAGATTAATCAATTTTTGGCATTCCAGATCTTCCAGAATGCAACCACAAATTGGTTGACTGTCGGATTCCATCCTGCAGAGGGGGAGAGTTTAAGTAAGTTTCTAGCCACAAATTCCAATCCCTACTTTGCCAGAATTCTGGGGGGTGTTTTGGTTGATGATGGCCCATGTTTGAGTGATTTGTGGATAGTCTCTGAAAAGATAGAGTAATGTCTCCAATTTGCCACAGAAGTAGCATTTATCGTCATTGGAGATGTGGCGTCTGTTACGCTCCGAATTGGTGAGGATCGACTGTCTTGTCAAGGACCATAGGAAGAGGCAAATTCTTTCTGGCCCTTCCCAAGACCAAACTTTTTTCCATTTGGAGTCTACTGGTTCCCAGTTTGATCTTGCAATGACATCAAAGGCAGATGAAATTGAAAATTTACCCGACATGGACCATTTCCATGTGGGTTTGACTGATCCTAGATCATCAGCAGGTGTTGGGATTGCTTGAATTTTAAGGATGGTGTTGTTGTCGAGCCAAGGGGTTATCAAGGCCCAATTCCAAGTATCATTTTGGCACTTGAAGTCTTTAATCTTTTTATCAAGAAGGTCTTGTGGGATTGGATTTAGAGCTTAATGTAGGAACGGTTGTTCTGCGTCTAACAAGATGTCTTTCTAGAAGCGGATTGTTTCTCTGTTTACCTCCGTCCATTTGATGCTTTGGGTAGCCGTCTGCCATACTTGAAGTAGTTGATTGCCCAAGTGTGATAATTTGAGGGTACCTGTGTGTTGATTAACATATTTAGCTTTGAAAATATCATTCCAGAGGTTTCCTTTGTTGGCGATGAGTTCCCAGGCTAGTTTTAGCATAAATGCAGTATTGACATCCCTAAGTTTACGGAGACCCAAACCTCCCCTGCTCTTCGGTTGACATATTTTATCCCAACTGATCATATTCAATTTTTTTTCTCCTTGGATGCTACCCCATAAAAACTTCCTTCTGAGTTTGTCGATTTCGTCCGAAGTTCCTTTGGGGATTGATTGTGATTGCATGATGTAGACATGTATGGCTGCTAAAATTGATTGGCAGAGAGTTAACCAGCCTGCCATGCTGATTTTTTTCGATTCCATAGGGAGGCTGTTTTCCTTATTTTGCACATTGTGGAGCGAAAGGTTTCTTTTTTGATACGGCCATGTATAATGGGTGCGCCCAAATATTTTCCCAAGTTGTCCACAAGTTTGATGCCAGTGTTCTGTTGATTGCATTTGCTGTTGAAATGTCTGTGGAAGGCTAGTAGCGAATTTTCTGCATTTATCGTTTGGCCTAAAGCATTGCAAAATTTTTCGAGTGTGGTGCGAATGATTATGGCTTGCTCACGAGTCGCTTCTGCAAAAAGAATCAAGTCGTCAGCAAAGAATAAGTGTGAAGAAGGTACTTGACCGTTGTCCATACAAAGAATAAAGATGTATGGGGAGAAGGGGTCCCCTTGACGGACCCCTCTGGTGGGACAGAAGGTGGTTCCCAGACTTCCGTTCCATAGTATTTGGGTGGAGCTGGTTCTCAACGAGCTGAGGATGATGTTGTTGAGGATTGGGGGATTTTGGCATCGTTCAGTGTTTCTTCAATGAAGTTCTATGCGATATAATCAAAAGCCTTTGCGAGATCTATCTTTATTGTAATTCAGCTTTTCTTCCCCTTGGCGTTTCTCATGGTATGAATTGCTTCCTGGGCTGAGACGATGTTGCTGATGATACTTCTATCAGCGATTAAGATGGACTGCGTGGGGGCTATTAGAGTTGACATTACACTTTTCAGCCTGTTTGCAATGATTTTGGAGATGATCTTCGCTGAGGTGTTAATGAGGCTGATGGGTCTAAGGTTTTGAAACCTTTCAAGTAGGTTAACCTTTGGTATTAGAAGTACCATTGCTTTGTTGATGGCAGGGTTTATTTTTCCCGTTGTGAACGCTTCCTTTACCATTTTGCAGACATTTGGTCCAACTATAGGCCAGTTGTTTTGATAAAATCCAGCCCCGTAACCGTCAATACCGCAGGCTTTGGATGGGTCCATATTGAAGACAACAACACTGATTCCCTCATCATTGAGGGGTTTGGCTAATTGGGTTTGCTGCCGACAAGAGATGGTTGGGAAAAGGCCTGTTAAAAAGCTTCCTTGTCATGGGTTTGCTGGTTTTTTGTAGATTTTCTTGAAGAAGTTTGTTGCTTCCTACCCCAGCACAACAGGTTCGGAACACCAGGTTTCATTATAGAGCTGCATCTCCAAAATATTTTTTTTTTCTGATGTTTCAGTCTGTGGGCCATGTGAAAAGCTCTTGTGTTTCTGTCGCCGTTGTTAAGCCAGAAAGATCTGGAACTTTGGGCATTCAATTTCTCCTCTTGGGTGATTGTTTTTTCATATTCCAGACGCAATTCCTTCTCTAGATTTTGTAGGTTGTCTGAGCGGTGGAGTGCAAAAGCTTTTTGGAGGCCGGCCAGTCTGGCCATTAGCTTATGTTTTCGCTTGAATATATCCTCGAAGATATTAAATTTCCAGTCTTCGATTCTTAGGGAGAGATTTTTTAAGGCTACATGGAGATCATCGTTTAAATTCTAGTTGTTTGATAGCCAATCCTGCCACTGATCGTGTTCCTCCTAGGTCATGAGGTATCGAAAATGGGAAGAATTTGCACTAAGAGAGTTTTTTGGAGGTGAATTGGACCATGATGGGGGAGGGATATGACGATAGACGGGGAAGGTGTTTAACACTTGTGTTGTCGTAGAAGTCTTCCCACTTTGAGTTAGCTAAGGCCCGATCGAGTCTAACATG